GAGGTTCACTATGCCTTCGAGGGGTCAAGATCGATGGGACCGACTTCCAGGGGGATGGTGGGTCAGACATCATGTGAAGCAGAGGATGAGACCGTTCCATCCAATTCATCGACACACACCTATGGACTGTAGCCACATTCAAGATCGGAGAATCACCGTGTTGTGGTGCCATGGGGAAAAGGTGATCAGAGATGATGAATGGAGGAGAGACACGGAACCACCGATGAGGGACCCCTGGGTAGGATATACCTTCTTCAGGGATCCTCATCCAGACCCAACGGCGGGGACTTTGACTTCGACCCCCAGTTCATCAACTACCAGAGGACAGGGCGATAGGACGTCTTCATCGATGAGCGGTTCACTGACCTCCGGACCACCGCCAATGCCGGGCATTGCGGAACATGGTCCAGAGATGGAAGGATTGCCTCGAGATGTCCGACCAGATCGTCAAGGACAGGACCCGAATCCGGTGGAATCTGGTTCGGAACTCAGCACAAGGGTGAATGAGGGAGCAAGCAGCAGTGGCATTGGAGGCTATGGGCAGCGGCTTCGTGGCCATCAACAGCGAGGGGAAGTTGAAGGCTCGGGGACGTCTGGAGATTCCCGAGAGCTTTCCTTGGTGAGTGAAGAGATTGATCGAGGGTGGGACTATGACCCTGCCTATGGGGCACAAGGACCTGGAGGACATGATGGAACCACATTGGAAGATGATGTGCGGGATGATTGGCTGGCGTTCATGCGGGACTTGACAGTCGACACAGGGTCGCCTGGAAGGATCCAGCCACTGGAGAGCGAAGAGAGCAGTGCAGAACGACCTGACTGGAGGAGAAATCTGGCCAGTGAGGATGAAGAACCGCCAACCTTGGACGAGATGACCGCCCGGGGATGGAGGGTGGTGCGAAGCAACTTGGCACCCCCGAATCGAGAAATCTACAGGGGGCCTGATCCTGTGTCATCGCCGGATGAGGACCCAGATCAGGAGACACCGACCTGGATGGGTGTGTCCACGCAGACGCCAGTGAGGCCTAGGTCAACCGACCCTTGGGAGCCGCGACGCGGTTTTTCTGGAACCTCAAGGGTTCGAGAGGACTCAAGTGAGTCTGATGAAGGCTTTGAGACTCGCGGAGGGTAGAAGAAAAAACCTACCCAAAGCGAAGTGACTTCCCAGAAGTCAGGGGGAGTGTGGATCGAACATTCCACTCCGAATTTCGACGGGTGCACAAATCAGAAGTGTACCTTTTGACCCTGTCTGGGCTTTTGGCTCAAGAAAAAGGTCCGACGGGCTGGACCGACTGATCTCGTAACCACACAACCAAACCAGGAGGGGCTCCTTTCGCCGGAAACCCCGAGCTCGGAGCTTCGCAAGCAGGATTGAGGCCTATACCATATAGTTCCACGCGTAAAGGTGGTATGATCATTTGACCGTGCATGCAGCGCCCTTGCACCCAGTTGCATGGAAAACATCAGAAGGGAGCCGTAATTTCTTATAAACATCTGTGGATGGTCCTCATTGCTGAACTTGCTGGTACATTTTGTTGGTTACCAAAGTATACCTGCAAAGTGTCGATCCAAAAAACGGAGGAGGCATCAAAGAGCCTTCCTCCGAACCCCCCATGTTTGTAAAGAAAAATAACATGCCGCATGTGGCCGCCACATTCGGCAGTCAGACTTTACATCCACAATCCTAAACATCGGCTGTGTGCTTGTTCAAAGAAATCCTTCTCCGGCCGTCGTTGTGGAAGCTCACTTGTACCCAAACACCAGCTGGTGCAACCACGCATATTATGCATCATCTTTCTCAAAGACAAAGGTTGATGAAACCAGATTTGACATCCCCATCTTGGGAACAGTTTGCTGTCACTGACTTTTTACAAATCTATAAGATAATATATATTTATATAGATCGTCAATAACGGACAATATCCCTTGAACACAACCTGAAAACCAAACCCTTCACACAGCCCGAACGGATTGATACATCCACATTGATTTGTTTCGTTGCTTCTACCAGGATCAGATCATGGTGGCGTTCGACTACCCTACCGGTCGGTCTCCTACTCCAGGACACCACTGGGCCGTGCCAACGCGTCCTCTCAGCACCTTCCTCCCGGATCCACCGCGGCACAGGCCCGACAGGCGGCGGTGAGGCTGGCCAGCTCGGCGGCGCGCTGGCGCCCCGAGCGCCCTGACGCCTCGCGCGCGGTTCGGTGGTTTAGCCGTTCGGTTCGATTTGGGAACGGGGCGGTGATTGGTTTGGGTTTGACATGTTGCAGTGCGCTTGTTTGTTTGATAGGGCCGGGCCGTCCTCCAGGATCTGGATCTGGAGGGGGGCGGGGTGGAGCAAAACAAAACAACCTCCGTCTGCCAATCTAAGCTGGCGGTCGGACTTGTTCCGTCTTGTTCCCCACATCTTCGTGTGGAGTTCTTGCTTTTATCGTAACTTGGAGGCCATCGCCATTAGGTTGGAGGCCGTCGCTATTAGGTTCGAGGCCGTTGCTATGAGGTTGGAGGCCATCGCTGTTAGGTTGGAGGCCGTCGCTATTAAAAGGTTGAAGGCCATTGCTCTAATAGGACTTTTATCTGTGTCCCGTTGCCCCGCCCATCCGCTGCATTCACTCACTTGCACTCACCTTCTCACTCACTCGCTCACTCACCCACCCATGCACACACGCACGCGCTCCCTAACTCAACTCAATTCACACTCACTCACTCGCAGTTGGGTCATATGAAGCTTTCACAAGCCCATATCATATGTGTCTTGTGCAGCAACCATATTGTTGCATATACTTGTGCTCTGAAACCACCGTATCTTTTGGAAACGACCGGAACATGTGGTCTTTTGGGATACGACGAAACAAAAGCAGTTTCAGGTTGCAGGCAGTTCCAGGTAAATATCTTATGCGAAATGAATACATCATATAATACATCCCTCTCCTTCCCCCTTCACCTATGTCCTGGATCCGATCTCCAAACGGCTTCTTGTTACGTAGCGATGGCCTCCAACCTATTTGCGGCCTCCACCAAGCATAGCGTCCGAACACTAGTAGTATAGCTTCTTGTTCCTATTGTAGCAATGCCAGGAGCGCCCCGTGCGTTCGTCGATCTCTGCGAACTCAATCGCCTCGTTCGCTCCGTTCGTCGCCTCCTTTTCTCGCAGAAGCCGGTCCAAGCGGCCCCGCTCGAGAAGGCCCAAGATCATGCTCCACTGCAAGGCCCTGTCAGACGAGACGGTCCCGACGTCACAACGTCTGTCTGCGGGAAAACCGGGGTGTCGCGTCGCGGGGGAGGAAGAAAGGAGTCGATCGATAGGCAAGAAAGGATGGGGAAGAATCCTCTCTTTCTGCATGAAAGTCGATGAAACTCGTGTAGCTGAACACGAAATGCGAATCAGACATGGGAGATGCCCACTCACAAGTTGCATCAGTGCGAAATCTCTCTGGTTGGTGTGTGGATAGTCTCTTGGCACATCAACCAGCATCAGGGGCATGCATCTAGGATCAAACGTGTTGGTGCAATCTCAGATCTTTCCGGATACATTTTGGAAATTTTTGGAATATATTTCTGTCGCCTTTGGCCTTCGAAAAGAAGGCAGCCCGCACGGCCGGCCCACGCACGAAAACCTCCACCAGCGGCCCATATGGCCCATGTCGGTGCCCACGAGTGAACGTCAGCGGCCACGACCGTGAACCACGACCGTGGGCCTCTCGCAAGCGAGTGCACAAGCACTGAAAGACACTGACGTCGGTGATGGCATCCGCACCATGGCCTGGACAACGCCGACAGACGGCTCTCGGCTGACCACGTGCTCCGCACGGCGGACCGGGCCATTGGGACTCATGAAGAGAAAACGCGAGTCGTTGACCACTCCAAAAGGACAGAACAACTGCGTTTCAAAAACAAACTCTTGCCAAGACGAGTGGATGCTGGTGAAGAGGTCTCAAGTGAGCCTGCCAAGGCGTCGTCAGCATATCCTCTCACCTATACCACTACAAGTTTGGAGTTGGAAGAAATCTCGAGGGTTCTCGTCATTGCCTTATGCAAATCTCTATGTTCCTCATTGTTCCTCTCATCTGAACAACTCGATTGCAAGCCTTCATGCCATTCATCAGGGCCATCGCTTGCCTCGGGTCCAGCGGATGAATCTGCGGCGAGTGAGTCGAGTCCGGTTCCAAGTGTGAAGTGCTCACATCCGCTGTCATGAAACACATCCGATTGGATTCTACAAAGAGATCAAAAGGAAAAACAGGTCTTGAATTCACTTTGTGCATCCTTGCGCCAGCTCAAAGTCATCCTACGCACCAAGTAATTGGCTATAGCCATGCTAAGCCTTACAACACCCTTCCAAATCCTTGAGGCGACCCTCACCATGCAAACTCACACAGCGCTCAGTCGAACCCTGAGTCGAACGGTGACGCCCAGGTGGGTCGCCCCGACGTCCAAAGACTCGCGCGACCACAGGCGCTGATGCAACCGTTGCAGGCCTTCGCCGGCGACCAGCCGTGGAAACCCCATGAAATTGGGCGAGCGAGCTGAGCTGTCCCCATGTGCAGAACTCGTTTGAAGCACGTGTCGCCACAAAAACCATACAACAGCACCCAGGGGCTTAACAAACCATCAAAAACCGGGTTTTCCCTAGCAAACCTAGTAAAAATGGGTTTTATGGTATGTGAAAACCCTGTATTTTCATGGGCTGGTATGGGGCCCCACCCATCTCCTGTCTCCTGCCGCCCAAAAAAGCCGCGCCGCGCCGCGAGCTCGGCCGCCGCTCCTTCAATCGGATCTCGCTGGTCATTTGGTCGATCGCCCGTGGGGATTCCAAGGTCCACAAAGCTGCACGCCATTGCTGGGCCTGGCGGCGGAAGGCACTCGGGCCGCCACTGAAGGATAGAGACGTGAACTGCGAGGGTTTCACCCAGGCCAAGCGACAGTCCAATTCCAGGCTGTGGATGAAATCACTTAAGATGAGAAGAGACGTGATTCCCATGGATTCCGTCAGGCAAATGGACCTAAAGTGGATCTTTCTGTGTGGTCTTTTACCCTTGGTCATCCTTTGTCTACCAATCCTGTTTGGAGAGGAAAGTCCAGTCCTCTTGCAAGGAGGGCTATTCCATCAATTGCTTCATACTGCTTCCATTGTTGATTCTTGAGAGCACTTCATTTGCGCAAACAAAACTGGTCCGGTGTAGTACTAGAGTTCAAGACGATAGAGGCCTGAGGCGAACTCTCTTCCCCCCACGGGCCATGTCTCTCTCTTCCGCGTGGCGCGCGCCCGCGACGCCGTGAACGCCTCCAGCAGGCTCGTCACCGACGGCGCCTGGGGAAGGCGTGACGACGGAGACCTTGTCCGAGCCAAGCCGCCTTCACAAACATCCAGACTAGATACTATAGAGACTGATAGTCGTGATAGTCGTGACATTCTCATTGATACGATTTTCTGAATTCCTAATCCTTCCAAGACGAAGTCCCCAGTTGCCATGCCTCCCCTCCGCATCCACCCCTTTATCGGCCAACACCCACGGTGCACCTTGCTTCGCCCGTTGCGAGAGCCACGGAGTGGTGCACCGTTCGCGCCTGCGGCCCACTCCGGGTGGGTTGTCGGGGTGTGAACTAGATCAGCAGACCTTACCTCCGTGCCACATCCCCGAGCGCCTGCTTTTTTGGCGAAAGAAGAGAGCCTTCTTTTTGGTATGAGGCCGTTTGTTTGTTCTCTAAAAAAGTCTTGGACTTACTTAAGCTTTACCACCTTATTGATGTATATAGAAGAATTACAGTATGTCTCTCTGAAGCCACCTGCCTTAACCTTGGCTAATGATCTTTCTCTTTGTGCTCCACTCTTCATTCAAAACCCCCCTCCAAAAAAAGCCCCACCTTCATCCGCATGCGACTCCAACACCACATGTCCGTTCGCCACGTGGACCGCGTGGCCGTTCGCGTGGCCGTTGGCCACGCCGTGGATGGCGGTCTCCGAGTGCACGACTTGCATCGACCCGCCATTAGACGACGCCGCGACCGAAGGTCAGCCGGTCCCGGTTTTGGGGGGAGGGCAGTGAACGACATGGGGACGGTGAGAGGTGTGCGTCACGGCTGGAGTGACTTAGGAGTAGAGTCAGGTGAGGAAGCTTAGGCATTGCGGTTGATGCTTGGTATCTCAAGGTCCTCGTTTTGGAATACCAAGAAGATATCTGAAAAAGGAACTATTCTAGTCGCCAAGAATAGTCACCGATCCTTTCAAATGATTACAACCAGTTGAATGGATAGCTCCTGGCTCCCGGGAGATGTTGTCACTGGCTCCCGGGGAGCTTCATCGAATCATGTGCACGCTGTTGGCAGCGTCCTTTAAAGGGTCGTGGTTGGCGCCAGTTGTGTTGTCTTCCCCAAGATCTGAACTAGTCTGAACCATAAAACAACCAGGCTAGTCGCCTTGTTTGGGCTCAAACTTGGGTTCTTCACCAACCATGACTGTGTGGGGAGCTGTCATGTGACCGTTCAAGCGATGTTGATCTTTGAAACTGCATCGGCAGCGGGGCCCGGTCAGTCAATAGCATCTGTTCGAAAACACGACCACGGGCACAAGCGATGAAGCCCTGCCAGAAAGAAAAGACCGTAAAAGCAAAAATAAAGGCACCGCGGCGCCACCAAAAAGAAGTGCTATTCAACTTGCTCAGCTTCTTCCACTGTCCATCACTATCCTCAAACACCTGTCTCTGACTCCAAACAAAGAAGAACCCTGAAACTCCCCCACCAAAGAAGCACCAAACCCGTGTGTCTCCTCCCCACCCGCGATCAAGAGGCCGTGTCGCGCCGGTCTCTGTCGTCTCATGTCGTCTGTCGTCCTACGTCCCGGTCGTCCCACGTCGTCGCTCCTGGAGCCTTTGCTGCGCCATGCTCTTGGCTTTCCGCACGTGCACGCCATGGGGCTCCAGCCCCTCGGTGACCGCGGTGAGTGGCGACCAGTCCGCGAGGTCGGCCGGTGACCGGGGCGGTGGACCGGGAGTGAAAGACGGACGCCATGGAGGAGCCCAACAGCTGGTGTTTGAGAGGTTGAAGTGTTTTGGTCGTGGTTTTCGAGGGGGGTCTTCGGTGAGGTGCTTTGAGAAAGGGATTGAGAATGACAGTCTTCGAAGTGAGATGAAACAGCGCTTAGTGACTTAGTGCAACCCTGCAATGCTTCTACCATCTTGTACAGGTCCATTGAAGAAAACACCGGGTGTTTCTCCCAGTTTCTTCATATACCTCCATCAACTGTCCCACAGTTCAGGCTTCGCTGGCTCCCCCACCAGCCCATCTCCCCACCTGAAGGCCGCGTGCGATGCCCTCTTCCAGTTGCGTCCTCAAGGCCGCCTCCATCGATTCCTGCGACCGGTTTCACCGGTTTCACCGTGCGACCGTATGGAGGGTTTTCACGTCTGAGAACCCGAGGATCAAGGCATCTTATCGGCCAAGATGTCCCAATCATCCAAAAATGGCGGAAGGTCATAGGTCATGTTTGGGTTCCAATTTGGGTTCCAAAACATGACCGTCTTTAGTTTTTGGGGTTCAAAAACATGCAGCTCTCCTGGGAGTCAAAGACTGTGCGAAGAATGGTCTTTAGGTGACCCAAAAAGGAAAATCCTAGTCTTTGGACTTCTAGGGGCTCAATAAAGAAGCTTCCAAAAGTGAGTGATTCCATCCTTCCGAGGTGTTCAGCATTGGGCGACTGACAGCCAGCGATCCATCGATACCATGGATCGCTGCCGGGCGGTCAGCGGGTGGGCGACGGAACAGTGGGAAACGAAGCATGCTTTGACATGACAGGAGAGTAGGCCACGTCTTTTGGGTTTTTGTTTTGTGATCTCTTTTGAATAAAAAATACCTCAAACGACCATGTTGTGTGGCTCGTGTCTCGAACGAGGAAACTCTGGCCAAGACGTCGAGTGTATCGGTCGCAAACCATCACATCCCGGTCACATCTGGTCCAAGGGCATCGCATCTGTTCAAGCACCATCCAGGTGTCCAAGCAGTTCAAAGCCTTGGTTTTACCATTCTTTTTGACTGATGTATGGAACTTGGATTGTGGATGATCCGAATGGTATATACAAAGGTCAGGTCAATGAAGACCAGGTCAAGTGAACTCCAACGGAACTGCTACAACGGAAGGCTCCCGGGTGGTTTCACCCCCCGGCACCCGCCCGCGGCGGCCCGTTCTCCTCATGCGCTGCGATGCCTTCGCAACGCTCCAGCAGATCGCCCAGGCTGGATCTCCGAGCCTGAAAGAGGCTCATCTGCACACCGAAAAAAATGCCATGAGCGAAGCAAGCAGGCTTGATAGCAGGCTTGATGACCAAGTCCATCTAAGTCAGTTTGATGACTAGGTCTCTTCCAGACTTCGCTTCCGCATCTGGGACATCCTCGCCGCGGACGTCGCGGCACCATCGTGGCTGGACACCTCGGCAGCGAGCTGTGCAGGTCCCGTCCGGGGGATGGGTTCCAAAAGGAAAAGGACGGAAGGACTAGGGGGGAAGGAATTATAAAAAACGGAGAGCTGACGGGGTTCCGTGGATTTCTATGTGCAGTGCTCAACTTGATCGATATTTACTTGTTGCTTAATTATTGAATGTTCAGGCAAAAGCCCCTCCCTCTTGTCCGACATTTTCCACTGAGAGGTGGCCTTGGCCTCGTTTGGGGATCCATGTGTTCAAAGACCGCCGGGTGGGATGACATACGACTCATGACTCATGATGACCCGGATGGAGTGCAACGAGATGCGTTGAGATCAGCGGACCTTCAGCGCGATTGCCTGCGGACCCGCCGACCCGCCTCGGGAGCTGAAGCAGTGCCCTGAAGCAGAGAGCAAAAGCGGAAAAAACCCACTGGGTCGGATTGAAGTCCACTGGGTTGAAGTCCAGTCCATTAGGACTTGCCTTAGCTTTTTCTCCTTCCAACATCGAATTCGTAGTGGACTTCTTATGGACAGTCGCCCACAAGACCACGAGACCGCGGAGCGCCGCCGCAAGGGCTCCGCCTGGATGTGGAGCAACAGCTCCGCCGCCAAGGCACGCGTCTGTTCGCTATGAGGCACTCCTGGCTGTGTGAGGCACTTGGGTTGCAAAACTCAGGGCGTTTCCGTTCAGCGAAAGTGGCGAAGTGGCGTTTCCTGATTTGGTACATTTGGGTAGCAAGTATCAGAACCAGCTGATGATAGAAGTTGTTTCTGGCAAAAGTTCAAAGCTCCAAGTCAGCCCATGCAACATTCATCACCTTCCATCATTCCTTTCGCCCCGGCCCCCCAGTGAAGAAACCCATGTGTACGCCAGTGACATGGCATCTAAAGCTCGCCTATAGCGACACAAGCAAACCACACAATCTGTTAACACACCAACTGTTCGAATGTTGCATTGCAAACGAGATCGAAGGACGTCAGGTCCCCGTGTAGAGTAGGCTTCTGGTTACTAGTAGCGATGGCCTCCAACCTACTAGTAGCAACGGCCTCCAACCCACTTGCGATGGCCTCCACCCGAGCATCGCGTCCCTGACGTCCCGACCACTCCGCCGCACCTTTGTTGGAGATCAGCGCCGCCAAGTTCCCCGAGATCGACGTCAACTTGTTCGCCGCCGGCCTGGGATCCACCGAGCCGGGCCGGAGGGGAGTTGGGGGTGGTAGGTCGGTTCCGACCGTCTCCACCGGGACCATCCGGGTAGTCATGACTTGGCCACGCTCCAGAATATATTAGTGCCCATTGGATGCGTTTGAATGGGTCAATCGAAATCCATGTCCCCTCTCCACTGGGAAGACTTTCAGGCGCCCCACGCCCAAGGTCCGTCCGTCCGCGTTCCGGTCCGTGCAGGGCGTCCAGCCCTTCGTTGAGCACCCACCTTTCGGCACGTCATCAGCAGCAGTCATCAGCAGTCTGTCAGCAGTCTTGCAACGAAGCCACTTGCTAGTGCAAAGCAATCCCAGCACCAGTGGAGCAAGATCCACGTCCTGCGTTTGCTTCGAAACACATCGAAACACCCGGCCGCGTTAGAAAATGCACCCCAGACACGACCACCAGGACATCGTCCGCCCAGTCCCTTAAGCCCTGTCAGGACATTGCTGGCCCTTCTCTAGGTTGGAGGCCATCGCTAGTAGGTCCCTTAACTTAATTAAAGGAAGTATAATAAGTCAAATATAGAAGTTACTATAACTATACTGACTATATAGTAACTATAGGTCCTATTAGAAGGTTGACCTACCAAATAGTCCATTTCGGAACTTCCCTTGCTGTCCGTTTACTCAAATTCCAGCTCTCTCTTCGGCTCGCTTCGCCAACCTTCGCTCCACGCGTCCTCCAGCATTGCAGCCAAGCGCACCAGCGAGGAGGTCCCACCTGACCGGTCGGATCGGTGGCGGTCGGCGGTCGGCAGGTCCAGGTTGGTGCAGGTGGGTCCAGGTCGGTGATGTATACGAGTTCGGGTCTATCTTTACAACGATATAGGAGTTCTGCAGGTGTGTGGTCCAGTGATTCGAAGTAACATACAGTATATAGTATATAGTATAGTTATAGATAAAAACGGTGTTTATGATTCGTCAGTAAATACGGTCGAATCCCAACAGTCCCCAGCCCAGTGGCACCCATCAGCACTTTGGCGAATTGAGGATCCTTCGCAGCCTGCGGGTGCGGCGTGGAGGGTAGGCGTCGTGTTGGGTCTGTGCGCGGAGGCCGGGACGGGCAAAAGACCCTGCCATCATGGGCAGGTTGAAACTTCGTCTGCCCAGTCAGTCTGTCGAACAAAGTCTGGGTTACGTATATCATATACCGTTGTCATGCCCTTCTGGTGAGGAAAAAGAGGACTTTTGGAGGATCTGTTCAACGTGTGCTTGTCAAGATGTGCTTGTGAAAGACATGGTCATGTTGACACCTACAAATCACTGCATCAGTGTTAAAGCCGTCGCCTCTGGCCGCTCCAAGGTGCCTTTCACCAACCTCGAGGGAGTCAAAGGGAGGGACTGAAGGGACTGAGGGAAGACAGAGACACCCTCTGTGCGAGAACATCATGGCTCATGGCTCATGGTGTAATTGGTCGTGCTTTCTGGGGCTCG